TTTTTTTTTTTTTTTTTTTTTTTTTTTTTTTTTTTTTGGTTCAGTGTTTAATTGATGGTTCCAATTCATATGCCTGCAGAGGTATGCTGTATAGATGGATGAAACGTAGTCTGTATCTATATATTGGGTTCTTCTAATAGTGAACGTAACTTGACCTGACCAAAGTGTCGTGTCTTGTTATAATGATGTTAGATTTGTGTAATTATTTTGAATGAGATGGCGTTTAGATAATGCTGAGTTTTCCTCATTCGTTCCCTGTTGTTCTTGATTTCTTTCTTCGAGTCCCTGGAAGTGTTCTGTAAATGTTGGGGAAAACAAATTGAATTCTCTTCGTTTTCTTATGATATATATTTTTTAGTAACTTATTTGTTTTTTAGGATATACTTATTAATAAATTGCGGAAGATCGTTCTTGTTTCTCCTATAACGATTTGCAGTGGAATGAATTTGTAACTTGGGGCCAATACTTGAACCCAGCATGGAAATTTAGTCATCTAGAAAGTATTTTGGCCCTTTTGCCATTACATAGTTTCCCCATATGCTAGCACATTCTTAGTGGATTGAAAGTTTTCTTTCTCTCCTGTATGCAGCACGCCTTTACAGCTAATATTTGTGCTTTTTTTCCTTGATTCATCGCTAAGTGGTGTAGTTGTATGATCAAGGTTACTAGGGACTGCTTGTAAATATGTAATATGTTTCCTTTCTGATTTTGTGCGAATTCTATGTTTAAAACTTGTGTAGATGCCAGTTTCAAAACTCAAGACCTCTAACTATCCAGATGTGATGAAATCGGAGGAGGGAAACGATTCTCTAGACACTATTATTAGACAGGCAATTGGGAAAGAGCCTTTTCTTTCTTTCTCTAGAGCTGGTGAGAGTCCAGTCCAGTGGATTCAATTACTTCATGCTCTCGATCAACAAGGTATTATAAGTGTTCAACTAAATCAATCTGCAATGAAGGGGCTCTCTCTGAAATGTTGGAGTATTGCAGTAGCATATTATGTCCTTTGGATGTAATGATTATTGCTTCATAGGACTTATTGAGTACCATTCACTTGCATTTCAAGTCAAGAGTACAGAACAATCCTTTGATATATACAACAATTTTAGACAACAAGCATAGTGGCTGGTATCAGGAACAAAGCTACAAGAATTTTTCTAGCATATGTGTTGAATTCCTTCTTCTTTTAGTAAAGCTTTTTCAGCTTTTCTGTGTGTACGCACATGTCCATGCCTCTGCTCTTTATAGTCAATTCAAGAGTATCCTTGTACAATAACAAGGCCTCCTAGAAGGGGGTTAATTTTTCATTGAATGTACCATTATTCTTTATTCAAATCTTATGGTTTGCGTTCCATTACCAGTTAGGACTCAATAGCTTTGATACATGTTTTGTTATTTCAACAGAACTCCCAGGTTGGCCCTTGCTCTCTCCTTTAAAGATTCAAATGCAGAAGTGTGAGAAGTGTGCCCGGGAATTTTGCTCAGTTATCAACTACCGAAGACACATACGAGTGCATCATAGGCTGAAAAAGCTTGATAAGGTGTTCCTTTTTCTATCTGATGGTTTTTTTTATCATTATTTTATGGAAATTACTTCATCCTTCGTATTTGGAGCTACGTGCTTGCTGATTATTAAATTAAATTGTGATTCTGACTTCTAATATTCTTTTTCTCACTGATTTCGTGCTTGCTTGATGTACATGTTCATTTGCACTTTGTAGGATTCTGCCAAAAGTAGGGATTTACTAGCAGCATTTTGGGACAAGGTAATCTTAGTTCTACATTGCCTCATCTTTTATTTCAAAACTTGTTCATTGATGTTGTTCTGCATTGTTGAGTTCCCTTATTATTAAAAGACTGACTTATTGATGTTTTATACAGCTAACCTGGGAAGAGACGAAGGAGGCTGTCTCATTCAAGAATGTCTCAGTTGAGGCAAGTCATTCCTCAGTTTCCTTAATTTTTCATCTGAATTCTTAAATAAAATGTCCATCCTTTCTTTGCAGTCTTTAAATTATCGGATGGAAATTAAGGGAACATAATATGTAGGAAAATCCTAGCAGTTTTTAGGTATTGTCTGTTTTACGTTCTCTTAAATGATTATTCTCTGTAAACATATAGGGAATACAAGGGTCAGCTGTAATCAAGAATCTGACAGTTATCATTGGAAAACCTGGATTTTCTGCCCTACCGCATGTTTATTTGAGGGCAGGTTCTGCCCTTTTGGTATGTTTATGTTCCACCAGCCTTTAGTTTGGTACCTATCATCATCATTGCATTATTGTGAACAAATACATATTGATATCGCATACCTGAACCTTTTCAGGACATTGTACAAGGTAGACCATCTAGGTTTCCATTATCTTCCCAGGAGTTTTTCGAAATTCTTGACAATGCAAGCGAAAAAACGTTCCTATGTGGAACAGCTGTTTCGATGCAAAAATATGTATTTGATGGGGAGGCTGTAAAAATTGGTCTTGAAACTAAAAACTTGGTTGCTTGCATGAGCTTCATGTTGGAACAGAAACTGGTAAGTTATTTCCCTTCAATTTTAGTACACTTCTTATGTTCTGTCTAGCTGATAGCTCTTGCTTTGTTGCAGATTTGGGGTGTATGCAAGCAATATGCTATTATTATGTAATCATATGTCCATATTGACATGATTATATACATATATATATATATATATATATATATATATATATGTACTTTTTGCTCAATAACACGGAACTTATGGTTTTTTTAAGGTCAAAACGTGGCTTGCTGATAAGGATGCTGAAGCTTTAAGGTGCCAGAAGTTGCTGGTAGAGGAGGAGGAAGCTGCTCAAAGGAGGTATATCCATTGTCATTTCCATCTAATTTCCTCTTTTTCATGGTACCTTCCTGTGAATTTTGGAAAGAGTAAGCCTGATCTAGCAGGATACAATACACCTTGGTAGTGTTAGTCAGAGTAGATGAAAAATATTCTTA